TTGTCCGTGATTTGTGCATATCGAGATCCTCATGGGTTCCAACAATGATGACATCATTGGATAAAAAGAATGTAAAAACGGAAGTTTAATGGTGATCGAGGAGTTCAATTCTTCTCAAATTCCTTCTAATCCTGGATTGAGAATTTCAATCTCAAGGTACAGTCCAAAAATTAGAGACCATGTTCAAAGAGCATATTTGCAGAAACATTAAATGAGTGATGACTGGTTAAATGATATACTACTAGTTTATGTGGAAAGGAAACCTACTTAAAAATTGGTAATGATGTTATTATCGAGTGATATTAGGCCATAAAAACTCGTACGGAATGACTATGAAGGTATGACTTTGTATTTGCACTTTTTGTTATCATATTTTATATTTTTTTTATTAAATAATCAGGTCCCTTCATTATATTTGCTAGATCCGCCCCTGATTGATCTAGACAAAATAAATGGCTAAGATTGAGTCTCATGTACTCATTTATTTAATTTAAATATATTGTGTATTATCTATGGTTTAGTCGAGTCAATTATTCGTTGTACATTTATCATTTGGAATGTGGCACCAATGATGAACAAGTATTGCTTCGAGGTTGTGGATATGACTTTAAATTTTGTTATGCAAGTCATGGACTCTTCTAATGCTATGAAGCCTTTTGGTGGAAACCCGAGATTTTCGTTACATCTTGTCTGTTGTGCCAACGTGAATAAGACAAGTCATTGTTAGTTCTATTATAAATGTTTCTTTCTCATGGACAAGATTCTAAGACCCACAAAAGAAAATGCATATGCAGAATTTAATGAACTAGACGACTATGCAGTGGTTTTTGATTTCTATGAACGGATCGACAATATCATTGATGGGATAGTTGGAGAACCATTGGTTGTGCTATCGTTGATATTCTAGAAGATCTTCTGCTAAACATAATGGTGATTTAATTGCAATGATATATTGTTCCTGATACATACATGATGTTTAAAGACGAGGTTAATGCTCCAAGCTAGTTGAAGGATCGAGCTATACTTGCAATAATAAATAAGGTTTCGAATATATTAATACATACATGATGCTGTTAAATTAACATATCAACAGACACTTTTGGGTCTTGATACTGTCTCAAAATCGGATGGCGGAGTTAGTTTGACTTATGATCTACACATTCCTGAATTCTTGAATAGAATTAACCATTTGTTGGTATCTCAAATCACGAATTGTAGTGGACAATCTAATTATGTTAGTGAGATAAATAGACCGCTTAAGTGGCTTGTGCAACGAGACATATCTGGTTATAATGAGACTTAATAATCATGTGTTGCAATGTAGGGTATTGATAAATTTTAACATTGATGATAGGACGTTTATATGTTTTAAATTCAATCTCTTTGATCAATATCTTAAGAATCTTGTCTTTAGAAAACAACATGAAAATAATAAATACGCATGGAAAATATTTTAATAATATATAAATAGTCATTTCTACCATTTATAATTTTTTTTTAATAAATAATGGTACATATGAAAAGTATTTAATAATGTAATATAAATAGTTATTGTACAATTTATACTTTCTTATTGACATTTTTTTTTTGGTACAAAGAAGGAAGTTAGAGGATGCTTGGATATAAAAATTTTTGGATTTGTTTGGATTTTTTTGGTTGGTTTTGTTAATTTTGAAAAATGTGGTATGGTTAGTTGTTAGTGGGTATATTAAAATAATATTTAAAATAAAATAATTAAAGTTGATTTGAGGTAAAAAGTAAGAGAGAGAAGTTGAAGTGATGGTTAGTTAAAATTATGTGAGTTGATGAATAGTGAATTAAGGTTGATGTGATGTGTATAAATGATTGGTTGATAATATTTAATTATAGTAAAATATTGATGATAGTGTGGTTGGGTTAAAGTTGAATTAAAAAAAATAGTTGAGTTAAAAATGATTGAAATTTTTTAAGATAATTTTGTATCCAAGCATCCTCTTAATGCCTTAAACTACGATATATTACGGGCTATATCTTTCATGCATTTGAACAACATACTAGTTTTGTAAGAAAGTGATGTCCGATGGGATGGGACGATAAAATTGGGGATTAATTGAAAAGCCAACTCCCAACTTAAATTGGGCAGGTATCTGCATTTCATGGAGATCGTATAGAATTCACGGTATAAGGGTGTGTCCTCTGACGCCTCATTGACCCACCATTGTCCCCAAACCCCTGAATTCATCAATCCATACTCCTCTCCTAAAAACCTGTTATTCAAATTTGCCCCCAAAATTCCAAGTGCCAAAACCCTAGTTCTCCTGCTTCGTGATCCTTTATACATGAGTTTGCTATGACTGAAACAGCAAGTATGAAGGATCCGATCAAGTCCTTCGATGTGTTTGATTTCAAAGAGGAAGATGAGCTTCCTGTGAATTATATTGCCCCTAATTTAGGGTATCCTCATGCTTTCGATGGTAAGATACTTTTCATGTGGGTGGTAGTGCAGCTGTTTCTATGTAGATTTTTCAGTTTGATGGTCTGTGTGTTTAACATTTTCATGTTTAACTGGGTTTGCAAAATTTGAGCTGAGAGTTGCCGTCTTTTGGGTTTTACTTTCTAATTTTGTCCAAGAACCATAACCCTGGTGCTGGGTATCATGTATTTGATTGTTTTCTCTTAAAGTAATGAACAGCCATCCTGTTACTCAAAGATAGGGGAAGATATTGAGATTGCTCGGCAAGTCTGCAATAGATATGTCCTGTAATTTCACCATGGACTAGGGAAGGGAAGTTCAGATAATGTGTGCATTCAGTGTTATTCATTCTTCTACTATCAGCTAAATTATTATATACTACATTACCGGTTAACTATTGTCGGTTTGGTAGGTGATAGGAAAGGATTATTAGGTGATGCATATTCCTCTCAAAATGAGATAGATTTTTGTTTCACTGTTATGCTTGCGTGTTAATTGGGTACTCTTCAAATCTTGGTGGGCTTTCCGTAAGCTAAGCTTTATCGAGAGCCTGTAACTTTCGGTTATCTCTTGTTACAAATTGGCTGTATTTACTTTATAATATTAGCTAGTTCTCATTGTATGTTTATTTTATCCCATGGAGTTTAGCTGTAAACTTGCACGGTTTTGACCACGTAATAGCAAGATTTCATGGCTTCCTTCTGATTATCATGATATAAATTCTTATGCGATTCGATGTAGTTGCCAGAAAACTTGCTTATTTTTGAAATGATATAGCTTTCTTTTTGAGATCCATGGTAATCTTTCTCCTGTTATTTTTGTTAGTTTCCAGAAACGAGAGTAAGTTGAAGGAGAATGATATTGCCATTTGTGGGGGCGCCAATGTTGATTTTGGCAACAATCGTGATGGTGCTGATTCATTTGCACCTTTTCAGACTGATGATTTTGCCAAGGAGACGCCTGAATTGAACCATGTTCTGCACAGTAGTTTTGAGTTCCACAATCAAGCAAAAGTCTGCAGCGTCTTTGCTAGTGTGGGATGTGGTTCAACCCTTGGTGCTGCTGTGCAGTTGAAGGATAACTTAAATGTTGCCATTCCCGAATCTTTTGTCAGTGTATTTAATTTGCAGTATTAGTTTATTGAGTTCTTAATAGATGAAGTGGTTTCTGATGCTAAGTTCCCATTTTAAAATGATATGCAGGACAGATCAATTCAGTTGGCTTCAGATGCTGATGAAAACTTGATTGAGAGATCTCCATCTGCTTTTGCGAACAATTTTGGTTTGATTTGCCAAATCTTATTTCAAGTTTTCAACTGAGCCGTCACTCTTTTATTTTACAAATGGCATAGTTGTTTTGATCTTGGATTCTCATGGACGTGGCAACATTTTCTCATCATATTTGTTGCTCTGTCTCAGCTCCTTGTGATGGATCACCGTCTGACAACTGTGGACCATTGTCTGGTAACTCCTCCCGCAAATGGAATTCGGTAAGAAAGGTTTACAAGTTCCCCCAAAGTTGTGAATAAAAATTATGATTTTCATCCTTTCTGTTGAATGATACGATAGGACCCCTTGGGTCACCAGAAAGTAGAATCTGCTGAATAAATATCAAGAATTGGTGTGATTTTTTCCCCCGGTGTATTACAGTTACGCATGTTAAGTGTCTGATCTGGAACCTTTTATTAAGATAACTTCCATTGAATATACTTCTGCAAGGCTTGTTTATTGCAGTTTATCACAAATGGAAATGGCACACCGGCAAATTTAAAGAAAGCCTTTAATTATAAGAATCATGAAACTAGTTACTATATTTACTCTATGTAATTGTAACTAATCTTCACAATGATAAGTGATCTCTAAGATCTTGACCCTTCTTTACTAAGTGTAATGATAAAACTTTATGTTTAATACATTTTCTTTAATGAAATTTGAGGAAGACCTGTTTTAGAATTTATGTTACAGAAGCTATCCATAGATAAATACTGTAAGCTTTTGCTTTTTATCTTGTTTTGTGAATTGAATTTAGTTTCTACCTTTTCTGCAATGAAATTTGAGGTAAGAAAGATACCGAAGGGAAAATTTGCTCATCTCCGTAAGTGACCAGAAGACCTGGTTAAGAATTATTACGAAAGCACATGCTGAATAGCTTATGATAGATGAGTGTTGTTAGCTTTATTGTTATCCTATTTTTTGAATTTTACTTTGGTTTTGTAGCCATCTGTTGTGGGTTAGAGTGTTAATGTGCTTCTGCTGTTCAGTCATATTATGTCATTAGTCCGGATTCTAACTTCACTTTATAATTAGTCGTTTTCACTATGGGGGTTTTATCTACAACATTCTTTTATATCAAAGATGATCTTTTGTAACCGATCCAAAAAAAAAAAAACAAAAGCACTATCAAAACAGAGATGATCTTTTGTAACTACTAAGAGGTGATAACTGTGTCCTATTGAATTGCCATGTAATAGTTATATATTGTGTCATTATGGGGTTTGAACACACCAAAATAACCTACACAGTAGGAAATATTTGCTTCTATAATCAAAAGTTTCATAGAGGATGTGAATCAGCATTATGTTGTTCCTTTAGTTTTTTCTCTTGGTGAAGGTATATAATCAAGCACTGCTAGAATTACAATGCAGTACATGAGGTTTATTCTGATATGTCTCGTAGGTTTTATGATTTAGCTAAGCACAGCTGGTTGAGTACTAGTAACATATGCTAAGTCACTGAAATATTTTGGCATGCATGTTCTATTGTTGTTTTCTTGTTTACTATTCTTCCTAATTGTCCACAGAGCGAAAGAGATGGAATTGTTTTCTTCCCCGATTATGTAGACTATTGCGGCACACATTATCTGGACTCGGTGGTGAGCTTTTCTCAAAGATTTGTTGAAGCTAGAAGTAAATCCGCGTGCAGAAACGAAAGAATATTTCAAATTCGTTTGGAAATCGAGGATATTGTCAAAATAGAGTCACAATGGAGTGCTCGGGTAAGTAATAGATGCTGTTGGATCAAATTTAATGTTTTGCACATAATATGAAGAATAAAATATGTCATGATTGATGGCTTTTATTCAGTCCGAGGCAGGCACCATAAGTATCTATTCTATCTCAAAAGATGGAGTGCAAGGCGACTTAATTCACAATGCTTCAGGTTGGTTGGTCTGAATGATCTTTTTACTCCCTGACGAAGCTGCTCAATGACTTGTAGTTGTGTGTAATATCCAGTGTTATCAAATGGTGGCCATGGCGGTATGGCGTGGCGGACTTTTGGCAAACCGCCATGCTAAACTTGTGAAGGATGGCGGTTATGGCGGGATTTTGGCCTGCCGCCATTTACCGCCATCCACCATTATTAACATTGGTAATATCTTGTAAATAATGCCTGCATGGTTGAATTTCCGTTTCCTGTTGTCTGAATATGGTAAGTGTTGCAGTTCATTAAGGTGTTCACTGTGGGTCGTGTACTGAGTGAGATATCCTGTAGTTTTTGAAACATTCTGCATGATACTAAAGCTCACTCCGATGAATTATAACTTGCATTTGTGGAGCATTAGATTTTAAACTTTTTGGGACATGCTGATGTTTCATGTTTAGTTTGGAAAAAGTATTAATGCGACCTTGTCATTTATCATGGGATGTAATTTCATAGCTATGTTCTGGTCTTTCCAGTGCTTGTAGAATCATTGAGTAAGGTTTCTTTTAAGGAAACTTCATCGTGCATGAAGAGTATTTTTGGAAGTAATTTACTCATCGGCTCGAAAGCAAGTCTATTCTTATTCCTGAAGTTTATTGAATGAGTTTAGGCCAGGGTATTATCAAAACAGTAACACTAACTTCTATTAATTAGATTAACATGTCAGATTTTATTTAGGGAGAGTTGCATTTCAGAAGATGAAGAATGAGACACATATTTATCAAATTGGTATTGGAACATCATTCTTTCAGAGTAGATGATGATCAGCGGAGCGAAATTTGTGTACTTACCTTGATATGTTTTGTGGATTTTGGTTTTGCTCTAACAAATGTTCTTGTATCTGCTTTGCTGTCCTATATCAGGTCTTCAGGAGTTGAAATTTCCTGCTGTTGACTCGGAATGGTATCAGAAACAGGATGCAATTGGATCTCTGGACGTGAGATATAAGGCGCTGTGGAATGTCCTGCTTGAGTGAGTCCTTTTAGACACAGCCCCCACAACAGAATAAATTCCATTTTTCCGTGAATGAACCCTTAGCGGTTATTTTTTTTATTCAATTGCTTTTGTTATTACCTTTGTTGGCATCTAGAGAATTCGTGATTGTAAGTAAGCATTTTGAAATTTATTCGAATTCATATTTAATTTATTCTGCTACATATTTAAGCAATCACCTTGCATTCCTGCTGAAAAAAAATCGTGAAGAGAGTTTTCAGTGACTAAAAAACAAATGAAATACTACTTTTGTAGACTTCATTTCAGTGGCACTATAGAATTTCCAAGCAAATTAGCCTGAAAAAATCACACCTGCATAATGTGTTACGCAATTCTATATCCAGTTTAATTATATTTATTTTTTCACATCAATTTCCTAATCCATCTAGAACCTATTCTATCAAGTAGCTTATGCTTTATTCACACAAACCCAATGAGACATTCGCATACAAGATTGTCATTTTTCTGAAGTAATTGTCTCTTTGAAGCCTTTTCTGTTGTTTGAATAATATTCTTCGGTGTCTTCTTAACTTCCCAGCTTAGAGGAACCTCTTGTGTGATTAACTGATAGCATTTTAAGTTGTTGCTCTGCATTGTTGTTAGGACTAAAGTTAATGTGTGTAAGAATGTTTTTGATACTGCATGCATTAACAGTTGTGATTTAGTCTTCTAAACTTTCATAATTTCATATGAGTTAGCCTCTTGGTTTTGATGTCTAGTTGGGCAACCAGGAGATAACTTAGTGTATCCTTGGTATTCTGTACCAATGGTAATTAAGTGAACCTAGCTATTTGGCTCTTCAACAGCTATGATCATACGAGTTTATTTAAGTTGTTGCAATTCTGATGATGTGTTTTTGGTTTCATCTGAAGCACTGGAATGGAAAAGATTTCACCATTGCCTGAAGGAAAAGAGATGAGGCGAATGAGAAGCTATTTTCCCAAGTGAGTAATGTCCACCTGCAGACTTCTGTGGTTCTTTCCTTAGTTACATATTTTTATGCAATATCATCTAAGGTCTTGAATTCATATGCTCTCTGTTCCCCCGTTTTACCTCTTCATTTCCATGGATATCCTGGGTCTACTTTTATCTGTCATGACGTTCCAATTACCTTGTCATGTTTAATATCGAGATCTGTGTATTTGCATTACCTACTGGTTTGAGGTTTCTGATCTGTGAGCTACTGGTTAAGCCACTTGGCTTGGTTTGAAAAGCTGGCTGACTCAGATATGTTATAGTTTTCTGTACTTTTAAAGAATGAAATTTTATATTTAAATTTATCAAGTAGTTTGTGTGGATTAATTATTTTACTTTTTGAGATTTTAGCCCCGTGTTGAGGTAGTATGGTTGTCTATCATCTAGCTTCACTTGTTTCTTTTAGAAAATATCTACCTTCTATCCGCATTTTACTTCCTCTCAGGTCTCAGCTGGTCAGCTGCCCCTTGTTTTCTCTAGTCCTTCAGTTTTCTTACTCCTTGCCGCTTGTCTTCCATTTTCACTGCTTTAATCACCTCCACCACCAAAACTTCCATCAAGTACTCTCTTTCTTGGATCTACTCGCTCCACTTTTATAACACCTTGTTAATATTCACCACGCCAGAAAAGAATGGAGGATTCGCTGAGTTGAACAGATGTGGTTACCGCTTTGGTTGAGTCTTTGCAGCTCTGCATCTTATTGCACATTTTGTTTGGCCGACCAGTGATATTCTTATTTATCTCAAGCCTTCTGTTTCTTCTGGATGATTTTAAACGTGGAAAAGTAAACCAAAATTTTATTAGTATCTAACGCTACAGTGCAATGATATTTAATTTGTGGAATAAATATATTTAAGAAAATTTGATTATTAATGCTATTCCAGAAAGATGTAAAATATAAATAGACAGAAATCAGGATCATGCAAATGATAATCATTTTCTTAAGATGGCTGGTAAACTTCCTTTCAGATTCATATGTTCCACTGCAGTAACTATGTACACAAGATGGGAAATAATCTGTGATTATAGGACAGAGGCCAGAAAATAAAAATCGATTGTATCAAACTACTCATAGTCGGGGTTGGGGTCACTTGATAAAATTAGTAGTGTTGGTGGTAGCTTACGTAAATCCATACCAGCTCTATTGATGAGTGAACTGAAATTTTGTTTGCGGCTTGTACAGGTCTGAGTACGTGTGTGAAGGTTTACTCCTCCTAGTTGGATAATTTAGGATGGAAGAAGTTTGTGATTGTTATTGGATGTCACATGTTGGGCTGTACAGCTGTAATACGTCCTAGTGTTGATGATTAACTTGAGACTAGTATAATACCCGTGTACTAAAGTGGTATTTAAATATATTAATATTTGTACAATAAAATTAAAATAGCTTATATTTTTATTTTAAATTATGTATGATGATTATGTAAAAATAATAAAGAACTAACAATATGATAATTAATTCAACCAGTGCCCGTATTTTTACACTAAGTTTTTCAAAAAAAGATATTTTTTAATTATATTTTTACAATTTTATATGTATAAAACTGATATTATTTACAACTCCATATATTTGATTTGTTTTCTTAAACAAAATAAGTTTTATTGTATTGTGACTATATTTTATATTTATAGAATCAATGTCTCATGTCTATTAATTTTTTAGGTATTTTAAATTTATATAATTTATAATTTAGAATTTATGTAGAAATTTATTATTTTCTAACATTATGAAATATATAATTGTTGTATTATATTTAATTATGATATTCTTTTATATTTACTATTTTAAATAGCATAATAACATTATGAAAATGACATATTAATTTTAAATATAAAATTAATTTATTATTAATAAAAAATTATTATTTTCTAACATTATGAAATATAAAATTATTTTATTATATTTAATTATGATATTATTTTATATTTACTATTTTAAATAACATATTAACATTCATTTTTTTATAATCTATTTAAGTTGAGAAATAATATTTTATAATATTTCTTAAAAATTCCATTTTTTTTCCAAAATTTATGAAGAAACAAAAAAAAAATGATTATTTTATGTTGTATTAATGAATTGGAATTTTATTATTTTTTAAAATAATTTATATTGTTATTTGATTTATTTTAAATTGAGTTGATCATAAAACTAATTTTATTTATAAGTATAGATGAAATTATTATCTATTTTATATTTGCAATGTGGATCTCAAATTGATAATCGTTAAAATATGATTATTTTGGTAGATCATATATAAAAAATAAAATACAAATAATAAAGTTATAAAGTTTTAAAATAAAAAGAATACATATTTATAAACATAGATGAAATTATTATTTATTTTAATATGGATGTCAAATCGGTTATCGTTAAAATATAATTATTTTGGTAGATCATATATAAAAAATAAAATACATCAATATCAACATACCTAGTATATTCCCAACAGGTTGGGGTCTAGGGGGTCAGTTGTACGCAGACCTTACCCTTGTAATTATACAAGGAGGCTGTTTCCCTAGCGACCCAAGGTGCGTTGCGTCGTTTGATATATTTTTTTTCTAGAAACTTCACTAATAGAAGAAGCACTAGAATTTAATTGAGCCATTTTGATATAGTATATTATTAGCACTATGCCATGAGAATTGTCAACAATGACTCTTCCAGCTCTATATGCAATGGACAAAATATAAAAAATAAAATACAAATAAAAAAGTTATAATGTTTTAAAAAATAAAAGAATACATATTTATAATAACTAATATATGAATTAAATAAAAAACGTAAGAATGGTATATGGTAACTTAAGAAAAAAGGTAATTTAAAATAGTTTATGGTAATTCCTAAGTCTAATAGTCAAAACCAAACCTGAACATGTGTCAATACAAAGCACCAATTTATGCCAAATAATCTTACGAAGCACACGAGTCTGCCACTTAGACTTTACGCATTCGGGGATTATATATAGGGGTGATTGGTCGGGGAGAATCTAATTGATGGATTAATTTCTGTTTGAATTGTTCTCTGTTGCTCTAATCTCTTCCTTTTGTTTTGTTTTTGTTTTGAGGTTTTTTTTGTTTTGTTTTGAGCCTTTTTCTTTTTGTTTGTTTTTTTTTTGTTTCTATTACCACTGTTTCTCTTGGGTTTCATCTCTAGCCTACCCCAACTTGTTTGGGACTAAAAGACTTTGTTTGTTGTTGTTGTGTTGTTGAATTTCTGTTTGAATTGTAGATTCAATCATACGCTGCTTAAACATGCATGTCTATAGTTTTTCTTTTTTTTTTTTTTTTAAAAAAAATATTATCACCTGTTCTCTTCTTTTCCCGCCACTAGATGTTATTGGAAAAGTATTGGGTTCGTTATGTTTTGACTAGGAGATTTACCAAACTTTACTGTTAGCATCCCAAGAAAGTATGCTGAACTTTAGTACGCAATCTAAAAGTAACTATGTAATCATGAAATGTAGCTTCTTCTTGGTCCAATTTTTTTTGATAAAGCTCCTTTGTAATGCACAGATTTGATCAGCCTTTTGAAGAGGTGATTTATCCAAAAGGGGATCCTGATGCTGTTTCGATTAGTAAAAGAGATGTTGATCTCCTACTGCCCGACACATTCGTCAATGATACTATCATTGACTTTTACATTAAGTAAGTTAATCTACGCTTATAGATTTCTTCTTGTGCAATTTCTTATAGGTACAAGGAAAATATATATACTACTGCATATGTTATAGATGTAAAGTGCAATCAGAAAATAGTAACTTTTGATTATCTTTCTTTTGTATTTCGAACTATCATGCAATGAAATCATGATATGTTATGGATAATTTGAACTTGGTTTGTTTTGTTATATTCTTTTATCCTCTTGACATTAATCAGCATTGACAATGGGCTAGTGCAAATTGTTGTGGGATCATTTTCCACGTGTTGCTATCTTTTATTTCCAATCATTCATTGTTCCTTCACATGGCTGGGCTTATTGCAGATATTTGAAGAGTAGGCAAAATGAGGAGGCTAGGTCTAGATTCCATTTTTTCAATAGCTTCTTTTTTCGAAAGCTGGCTGACATGGATAAAGATCCATCCAGTGCTTTTGATGGCAAGGCAGCTTTCCAGCGTGTTCGCAAATGGACAAGAAAAATAAATTTACTTGAAAAAGACTTCATATTTATTCCTGTCAACTACAAGTAAGGAATTATATGTAGCCCCATTTGAGTAATTTCACATGGCTTCTTATTCCAATCATCTTGTATGAAGATATGGAGAGTTGTAACTTACTATACGATGCTATTGCAGTTACCACTGGAGTCTTATAGTAATTTGTTACTTTGGTGAAGTTTCCAGCTATGAAGGCAAGATACTTTTGACTTCTGGACTGTCATGTGAAGTCTTTTCGAATCTCTGACATTGATCTAATTCGTTCTTGGCCATAATTTAGGTATCGAAAATGGCAAGACATTAAGAGTGCCTTGCATATTGCATATGGATTCTCTCAGAGGAACTCATGCAGGCCTCAAAGATCTTTTACAAAGGTATGTATTTCACCTGCTTAAATAGGAACAGTGCACGGTAAAATAACATGTTTATTGTTAGTTTATGAGTGTGGGGCTGGTCTACCAGTAGTTGACTTAATGTAGATGTTTTAAGCATTACAAAGATAAAGCAGCACCCGCCCGTTTGTTTCCTGGGTTGGTAAAGTGTGGAGTTCGTTATGTCAGCTTCCATGCCTCTCCATGTCCCAACACTTACTTGAAAATGTTCACGTATAATCACAATAGATGGAAGCACTTAAAATGGAATTTTGAACCAATGCTTTCAAGTCGGCTGGTCGAACCTGGTCGACCACGGACCGACCAGACGATTAATCGTGATTAATCGTCGACCAGCTAGATTAATCGGGCTGCCTCCTTCCTATAACCCTAACAGGCCAAGCCCAGCAGCCCACATACCAGCCCAAAAAGACAAATATATGTCCTGGTCGTCCATATGCCCTGGTCGGACGATTAATCGCGATTAATCGACGATTAATCGGACGACCAGGTTTCTGGTCGAGCTGGTCGGGTCGGACCTCCTAATCGAGCACTTGGGAGCGACCAGGACGATTAATCGCGATTAATCGCGATTAATCGGACGACCTAAAATCAGGGTTTTGAACTATAGAAAATGCCATCTCAAAGTCAACGCCCATGTGAAATTTAATTCTACCCTTAGGATCTAAAATGTACCATCACTTATGTGTACCTGTGTATTTCTAAAATGTTATGCTCTCATTTGGCAAACTGTTGTATACGTTCTGTTATCTATTTTCTTTCTAGTTTCAAGTTTATTCAAAATTCTGCTTCGAACATTGTACTTAAACTTTGTCTTTGAAATGACAGTTATTTATGGGAGGAATGGAAAGAAAGACAAAAAGAAACATCTGAAGATCTGTGTTCAAGTTTCAGAAACCTTAAGTTTTTGCCCCTCGAGGTATGTTTAAAAGAGATAATTATAAACTGATCATTTTGCATGTGCAGGAATTTTGTAGAAAGTCCGAAAGAAACTCTCTAAGCATATTTTGAGTAATTAAATAACTTGGTGGAAAATAGTACTCATCCCTCAACTGGAAATTGACACATGCAAATACGCAATGGACTTTTGTTCGCCTTCTATGTCACAAAAGGGAATGAGGTCACCTTACTTTCCATTTTCTACTTGTTTCCATTTTTTACTTATTAATATGGAAACAAGTATTGAAGTGAAGAGCCTTGACAATAACGACAATGACAACAAAATCAATTGTCTTAATGTCTCCTCTCAATTGCACATTGCCACTTTGAACGACACTTTCTCATTCTGAGTGCAACTAGATATAGGACTTGGTAGGAAAAACATGTCAATTAATGTGAGTTCATTACATAAGGCACCATTAATTGTCTTATTATCAGTTCATTACATAAGGCACCGTTAATTGTCTTATCATTTGAATTTTGAGATGATGGAACCTTAACATTATTCTGTTTCTGATATGTGGGATTGACTCCAGTTGTCATACTTTGCAGCTGCCACAGCAGCCAAACTCATATGATTGTGGCCTTTTCTTGCTTCACTACGTTGAGCTTTTCCTGGAGGAAGTTCCTGATAATTTTAGTGTTTACAAGATCACGCCATCCTCGAAGTTTGTAAGTTCATGACTGCTCAATTGTGCTATATGGATCGATAGACTGATGATATATCCTGATTAAAAGTTACACTGCTCAAAGTTCTTACAGATGAGATAATACATTGCTTAACACGTTGGGATAAATCTGTTAGTCATTCATATCAGTGTTATGAGAACCTCCAAAAACGTATAGGTACCCATGAACGAGAAGCAACGTGGTTCATTTTTATTACTTGATCTGAGCTCCATAATCTTCTTTGTCTGCTTATTATTTATCCTTCCAAAGCTTGGAGATCCAAATTTTTTTCATTGAGATTGACATTATATGATTAACTATGCAATTTCTTGGTGCATCTTTTTTTTTTCCTTCCTTTGTTAAGCTCTTCTCCTTATTCTTGCTTTGTTTCTTTCCTACTTTGTTGAGCTTACTGGCCAACAGATGTCTGTTTGCTCGTTCCGTGTGACATTTTAATGTTTAATGTCTAAATATTTGTGCTGCAGCTACAAGCTGATTGGTTTCCTCCTGGTGAAGCTTCCATGAAACGAACACATATTGAGAGGTTGATTAATGATCTTCTTGACACTCAATCTGAAGATTGTCCTGGAGGGAGTGGAATGCATGGTTCTCCTGAGTTGAATGCTACTCTTGGCCATGCCAATGGAGTTGAGTTTTCTGTAAAATCCAGTCTGAGTACTCAAATTGAGAGCTCACTACTACCACTCGACCCGGCAATTGAGATGACTTTATTACCAGCTTCTTCTACAAGGGGTACACAGTGTAACAGAGCTTCTGGAGTGGTTTTAAAGTTGTTTAAGCAAGCTTCTGATGCACCTTGGGGAGCTTTGGAGAGCGGACAATCTCTTCACGAGTTTAACAGGACTGATCCTTTGACAGAGGTACTTCAAATATGGAACATTTTCTCACTTATGGCATTCTTGCTTTTACTGATACAGTCGTCAGTAATTTGGGTTGGTTACCTATTTGCATGTTTAGCTAAGATTTCATGACTCTTGTGTTTTGCCTGTGGGAATAGCCTGTACGTATTTTTGGGATTGACAGTTTAATTGGTGCCTGAAATTATGAATTATGATTTTATCACTGCTATGAAGTTTTTTCTTGTATATTACTAATATAAATTTCCATTTTAACTAAATGTTGTAGTATGTCTCTGAGCTTGTAGTGGTTATTTAATTATTTATGCCGCAGGAAGCTAACGAGTGTCTCGCACAACAAGAATTAGAAGAACCCGTCTTCCAATCCGTGGATGATGTAACCATAAACGAACCCGTCTTTTCTTACTCGTCTGAAGATTTTAGATTGAACTCATTTCGGGAACCGGTACACAACAATGTCTGCATGTCTCCAGTGACATCAGGTTCTGAATCCGATGATATATTAGAAGTAGAAGTTGATAACAAAAATTGGTCATCAGTCATGGTGCTTGGCCAATACAGCGAAATAGATAGCCATAACAGATGCTCATCGCCTGACAAAATCGAGCAGTCCACCATTTGCTCTGAGCTTTCCTTAGGGGATCAGCTTGATTCTGAAAAAAATGCCGAGATAAACGACTCAAATGGCGATGAATCAATTCTCCTGAAGGAGTGTTGTCCCGAAGCAAAGCAGATGCATGATGAGGGCCCATCTCACGAGAGCTTGCCCGTGGACCCTAGTTTGGCTTCTGGTAACAAGTTGGATGTCTTGGAGGGTGTTATCCCTTGTGATGAGGAGCACCCACATAGATTGGGTCACGATGTGCTCGAATTTGGTGATGGGGAACGTACTCCCAAAAAGATGAGGATTGCAAGGCCGGACGATGATGCTAACAATTATTTGTCTGATAATCTGCATTTGTGAAAAGTAGGTGATGAAACTAGCCGCAACTCTCTCTCTCTCTCTCTCTCTAAAAAAAAAAAAAATAGCTTTTGTTGTCTGTAGGTGGCTAAAATGAGTAAAGATGCTGGTGTTGTCAACCGGTTGTCTCTATGTGCTACTAATGATGGGTGTGCTGTAGATTATGGGGGCGTAGATGTTGAAAGCTTATCTGGCTGTCGTCTTCTGTTAATGGAGTAAGAAATTTTAGTAATGTGGAAATATGTGGAGTGTGGACAATAGTTTATTTAGAGCTTGATCGTTTACCAATTATTTTACTCATTTTTATTTCAACTCAAAATTTAACTCAACTATAACTCAATTTCGCTATCTTTAATATTATTCATATAATTAAATAATACAAACCTATCATTCTTACATATCACATCAATTTTAATTCACTATTCATCTACTCACATAATTTTAACTATCTATTATTTCTAATCATTTATTTCTTAAGTTTACATCAAATTAATTTTAATCATTTTATTTTAAATATTATTTTAATACATTCTTAAAATTCCACTAACAACTAACCATATGCCTTTTTCAAAATTAATTATGGTTAGTTAAAATAATTCATTTCGAACAAATTATTCCATAAATAATCAAGCCCTTAGGTGTTGTTCCCCAACGTATCCTCCCTTTAGACCATCTCATTTAAATTTTTCCAAATGTCAACTAAATATAGTTAGTGTATACCACCTAAGATGAAGGGACAATTTAATTTCTTTACATCGATGTATTAAGTTCTTCACACAGTCTCTGAAGAATTTAACTTTTTTACCTTAGAAAATGTGAAGGTTATGTGAATGATTCGCATAAATGTCGCATATTCACAATGGAACGAATGAAGGGTTAAGCAAATGTCTTCACATTTTTAAGTTTCGTATAATGTTATTTGCGCAACTGTCGTGTTATTATTGCATAATTCTTTTTGCACTTTTTAAGGTGAAAAAGTTAACTCATAATTCAACAATGTGAAAAACTCATTCAATCTTCAAATTGGAGTGTAAATACGATTTTTTCTATGATAGATGTAAAGTTCACAACTATAAAATAAAAAATTTAATAAATCTCTACAACCACAATCAAAATGTAGACAACTAATGTTACTATTCACATTACCCAAAAAAAAAAAAAACAATAATTATAAATATACAAATCATTTATATAATAAATGAATAGTTTATAAATTAGTAAAATGTTTTACCTTTATTTTTTATTGATTAATTTGAATGTAGAAAACCGTAGGAAAGAAATACACTCTACATTGTGGACATTAACGATGACGACGTGTATCACTACTCTTGTTTTTATATTCTGTAAGGTGAGAAATTGAGCTAATATTAAATTTGACGATGTCACATATTTCACAACACGCTTTTATGTTCACTTGTTTTGTCGAGGATTTCACCTTCTATCGATCATAAGTTTTTTCTAATTTAACTCCACACATTAAATAAAAATTTGGCTTGTTAAGAATGCATAACACAGTACCTGTTGTGGAGTATTTTGTCCATAATTTTGGAGTTTTTTTTGTAAAGTTGTTCCTTTCATGGAGAAGGAGCTCTTATGCTAAGTGACTCCTCTTTTGTTCGTTTTTCTCCAGTTAGACTATTTTTTGTAAAAGCAGCTGATATGCTAGCTGATAGCTGATAAACTAGCTTATAGCTTATCAACAATTTTCGAACTTATAGCTTATGACTTATAGCTGAAAAACTAGCTTATATGATAAAATTGTTTAGTAAAATTAGTTGATAATCTAGCAAAATAAAAATTTCAACGAGCATATTTGAAAAGCTACCCAAAAAAGCTTATCAAATAAGCTCGAGCTTTTTAAATAAGCTTGTCCTAGCAAACATAGTGATGCATATTAATAATAATAATAATAATAATAATAATAATAATAATAATAATAATAATAATAATAATAATATATTGTTGAGTTAGATTTAGTTTATTATTATTATTATTAGTTAGCTTGGAGAATAAGTTAGATTTAGTTTAAGAGTCTTATTTAAAGGGTTCTTGTGCTTTGTTATTAGGGGAGTTGATTTGAATGAAAAAAATATATTGTTGAGTTTTACGTGTTTTACGAGAGAGTATCTCGTTTACTCGTTTTATCCTTCTCACTCGTACGCTTTTCCTACATCAGTTGGTATCAGATGCCGCCGCAGAAGGACGACATCGACGGCCATGACGCCACCATTGAGTATTCGGGTCGACAAGCCACGGGCTTCGGCCGCCAGATCAATCAATTGGATCGTCGGGTTGAGGATCTTCCGACGGGGATCGAAGAAGTGCGTCTTACGATCAACAACGTGGTTGAGGATTTGCAGACGAACCGTGACGCCGGCAACCAGGGCGTTCGCGGGGGAGTTCATGGAGGACGTGGAGGTCGTGGTCCAGGCGGGGCACCCCGCCGGAGATCTCCACAACCACCGTCCGGCGATGAAGACGGGGAGGATATCATCTCGGAGGTGAATCCCTTCGGCAAGTGACAACCTCCGCACGTCGAGGCTGACCCCTTCGCTGCATACGACGACCGTGACATGTGGCGACGGGGCCCGGTCTTCATGGATGGCGACGATCAACGCAACAATAGGGGCTGGCACGAGGAGGCAGCCTTCGCTGGCGGATATCGTGCCCGACACGATTGGGGACTTGATCGCAAATATGGTCAATGGGAGGACCCGTTTCGCATTGACATCCCAGAATTCGACGAAGAGCAAGTTGACGGGCCATTGTACGATGGTCCACCGGTGTTTGATGAAGAACCCAAGGAGGTGAAGGAGCGTCTTACCGGTGAAATGGACAGTCTCTACGACGGTCCGCCTATTTTCGATAAGGAGCCTTCGGGCTCGGAGGAATTCAATCATGTTTCGGGTATCTAAATTCAGCTGTTGGAAGAATTTGGTGTTCATTGGTAGTTATTCTATTGGGCAGGCCCGAGATTTTCTCCCATGAGAATTTGCTGCGACCTTGCAAACAAATGTTATTTTCTGGTCCCCACGACGACTTCAAGATTATGTGTGCGGCTGCTTCATATATGCCTTTATATGAATTTCAAGTGACTGATATTATGGAGTTGTGACATTTATCCTTCGTGTTTGATCAAGGGAAACAATGGGGGTTTCCTAACATGAGTCTGACACCACACGCCGACCACGGAAGCACATCGGCTTCGAGGGCGAAGCCTTCCGAATCGGGGGAGAATGGTGTAGATTATTATTACTATTATTATTATTATAATTATTATTATTATTATTATTATTATTATTATTATTATTATTATTATTAGCATTATTATTTAATAGGTGTCTTGGAGAATAAGTTAGAGATTATTTAGAGATTATTGTTTAATATTTAGTAAGAATTCTTGTCTTGTTGGACAAGTTAGTATTAGGGTTTTAAGAGCCTTATTTAAAGGACTCCTCATCTTTTATGTTATTCAGTTGATTTTGAATTAAAATACGAATTGATTGTGTGCTTTATCGAGAGAGTATATCGTTTATCCTTCCCATTTGTACGCTTTCCCTACATCAGTTGGTATAAGCAGTCAGTACAATTTGCGATGCCGCCGGGACGACAAGATGCCGCAAACAAACAACGTGATGCAATCTTCAATGATCGGTTTCAACAGATTGATTACCGATTTCAAGAGTTGGACGTGCGTTTCACGGATTGTTTTGCCGATCTTTCGACGGAGATCGAGAATCTGCATTTGACGCTTAACAACGTGGTTCTTTCGGAATTGCAAACGAACAACGATGGGGCTGTGGCCGTGGATTTCGCGGGGGAGACAGAGGCGGTTGCGGGGGACACAACCATGTTGGGGCGCCCCGGCAGCGGTCCCGACACCTCTGAACGGCTTCGTGGACGGCGACGATCAACGCGATGACAGAGGCAAGCGCGAGGAAGATGCCATCGTCGGCGGATATCGTGCCCGACGTGATTGGGAAATTGGTCGTGACTGTGGCTGTTTCGTGTAGACATCCCCGAATTCGACAGTGAGCAAGTTGATGGACCATTGCACAACGGTCCGCCCATTTTTTTATGAGGAGCCTCTGCGGACGAAGACATATATTTGCGGCGATATGAGCCCCACGTGGAATGTCGCAGAAGTTGAACCTTCGAATAGGCAACCATCGGTTGGACCCAATTTTCGTTGTATCTTGGCCATGGATGGTTTTTTGGAGCCGAAGCCGGGGCTCGATAATTGGTGGGCCATTTTTTGATTGTCTATCACGCAGTCTCCCAACAATTGGATGCTTGGTCGTACTTATGGATTTGAGCGCGACGAACGATGTGTTCAGTCCTTGCCCAAGATTATGTTTACCTTCGGGGTTGTTGGGCGACCCTCAACTTTCGTGTTCGATCGGGGGAAACATCGGGCTCTTCCTGTCATGGTGACGTCTCCAACGGGAACGAGTCGTATTCGAGGGCGAATCCTGCTCAACCGGGGAATGATGCAAAATAATAATAATAATAACAATAATAATAATAATAATAACAATAATAATAATAATAATAATAATAATAACAATAATTATTATTATTATTTTATTATTATTGTTATTATTTTATATTATTATTATTATTAGTTAGCTTGGAGAATAAGTTAGAGTTAGTAGTCTTATTTAAAGGGTTCTTGTGCTTTGTTATTAGGGGAGTTGATTTTGAATGAAAAAAATAAATTGTTGAGTTTTACGTGTTTTACGAGAGAGTATCTCGTTTACTCGTTTTATCCTTCCCACTCGTATGCTTTCCCTACATCACATAGCTTATTTGAATACAAAGTGCTTATAAGCTTATCAAATAAGCTATAACCTAGCTTATTTGTCTACCAAACATAGTCTTATAATGATCTTGCAACCATCTGGTTACAAATTGTACCTTATCTGAGGTTATATAATAGTATTTGCCGTTTGAAAAAAAAATGCATAATAAATTTTTTTTAATCAATGTGCATTGAGTTTATT